CCCCCCTCCGACTTCAATCTATTCAGCTCTCATCTGCGCCACTCTCTCGCATTAAACATTAGACATCAAAAACGTCAGATCAAAGCAGAAGGGAGCTCCTAACACGGCACGGCACCCCTGCTCCCAAATCTGATGACGTCTCTCTCACTCTCTCTTTCCAGTGAGCTCCACTGTCTCCGTAATCGCATTCACATGAATCTGATGCTCGCGTACATTGGGGCGGACATCGTCTGGATCCTGAACATGACCGTCAATGTGTACCTCGTAAGTAAAGCACAATCCCACTCTATATTTGCATACGTGTTCGATAAGCGAACTATAAAACCTCTCTTGCAAAACGACCCTTTCTCCTCTGCAGGGCCACGAGAGCACGGAGTTCTGCATCATCTTCACGGTCCTCCTCCAGTACACCCTGCTCACCCACTTTCTCTGGATGTTTGTCGAAGGTCAGTCATCGATATCTTTTACTCCTGCTAAGTAACCTCCACACGACACTACTTTTTGAAGAACCTTGGACCTGACCAACCACCAATCCTTTTTCTCCCCCAGGACTCTACCTTTTCACGCTGGTGGTGATGACGTTCCAGCAGCACTCGGCCAAGCTTCCCGTGTACCTCGTCATCGGCTGGGGTAAGTGTTGAGGAAAACTTAAATACATATTCAATAAGACACATTTTTTCTGTTTTCTTAAGTTTTCCTGATTTTTCTTGTTTTTGTTTTTTGTTCTTTTTGTAGATTTTTTTCCTGATTTTTTTCCGTCTTTTGTATTGATTTCTTCTTATTGGGGTTTTCTGGGGTTTTCCTTCTGATTTTGAAGGGTTTGCACAGTTTATTTTTGTGGTTTAGTATGGTAGTGATCAAGGGGCACCTTGGGCTCGCCTTTTGGCGTGGGCGGGGCCGTCGTGCGCGTATATAGAAGCACTTTGGAGGCCTTTCTTAATCGAATGCGACTCCCAGTCGGGCCTCCCCCGCCCATCACGAGTTTGTTTACACAGTCACTCTGCATTAGGGTGCCGGGCGGCCATGACTAACCCTCACGCAGGCAACAGGTGGGGCGGGGCGGGGCGCGTGTGAGTGAGGGCAGGGTCGTGCTGCTGCTGATGATGCTGCCACCGCTGCCGCTGCTGCTCCAAGCCGCCGAATGGCTCTCCGAGATGAATTTATGCAATAACCGCGCCGAGATGCCGGCCTGGCTCGGCCGGGTGCTTAGACGAGGTGTGCAGCACCCCTCGCCCCTCGCTCACGCCCTGTGGAGCTCCCCGCCAATCCCATTCCGAGGCTCCCCTATGGCGCGAGAAGGAGTAAGTTATTCGCCGTAAACCACGGCGTCACCATGGCCGCCTGCC